AAATTGGAACACTGTGCACTGTTGGTAAGAGTGTAGAAGTATATATTCACTGTGGAAAAGAGTATGGCAGTTCCTCAAAATATTAAAAATAATATTACCATATGATAAAGCAACTCTTCTGGGTATATACCCAAAAGAACTAAAAGCCAGGCATTGAAGAGATATTTCTACACTCATGTTCACGGCAACGTTATTCACAATAGCTAAAACATGGTAGCAACACAAACATCTATCAAAAAATGGATGGATAAGCAAAATACAGTATATATATATATATGTGTGTGTATATATATATGTATATATACACATATATATGTATATATATATATATACACACACAATGGAATGTTATTCAGCCTTAGAAAGAAAAGAAATTCTGATATAAGCTACAGTATGAATGAACCTTGAGGACGCTATGCTAAGTGAAGTAAGCCAGTCAAAAAAAGATAAATATTATATGATTCTACTCATATTCATATGAGCTCATTGAGATAGAAAGTAGAATAGTGGTTGCCAGGGAGTGTGGGGAGAGGGAATGGGGAGTTATTGTTTAATAAGTATAGAATTTACTTTTGCAGGATGTAAAAAGTTCTGGAGAGAGATGGTGATAATGGTTGCACAACAATTTGAATGTATTTAATATCACTAAACTATACAATTAAAAATGATTAAGACGTTAAATTTTATGACGTGTATTTTACCACATTAAAAAAACAGGGAAAAAAGCAAAATTTATCTATATGAGCATTTAATTAAAGTACTTCAACATTATTGGGAGGAGAATAATTTTCCCAATTCATTTTATTACTTTTGTAGCAAAGAAATGGCTAGGAATCCAATGGGGAGGTGGAGAGAATGTTATAAACCCGGAAATCCCAGTCTTAGGTATTTATCCAAGAAATATAACAACATAAGTCCACAAAAAGCCTTGTACTTAAATGTTATAGGCAAGGCACGGTGGCTGATGCCTGCAATCCTAGCACTCTGGGAGGCTGAGGCAGGCAGATTGCTCGAGGTCAGGAGTTCAAAACCAGCCTGAGCAAGACCCCATCTCTACTATAAATAGAAAGAAATTAATTGGCCAACTAATATATATAGAAAAAATTAGCCGGGCATGGTGGCGCATGCCTGTAGTCCCAGATAACTTGGGAGGCTGAGGCAGAAGGATTGCTTGAGCCCAGGAGTTTGAGGTTGCTGTGAGCTAGGCTGATGCCACGGCACTCACTCTAGCCTGGGCAACAAAGTGAGACTCTATCTCAAAAAAAAAAAAAAAAAAAAATTAATGTTATAGTAGCTTTATTCACAGTAACCAAAAACTGTAAAAAACTCAAATGTCCATCGACAGGAGAATGGATAAACCAATTGTTATATATTCATAAGATGGACTATTATTCAGCAATTAAAGTGAATAAACTACTAAAACATGCAACAACAGTACAGACTAAACTCAAGATTCTTATGTCAAGTGAAAGAATTCTGAGGCAAAGTCTGTATACTATATGATTGTCATGAGGTTCTATAACAGATAAAAACTAGTCTATGGTGATTGAAATCAAAATAGTGATTGCCTATGTATGGGGTGGAAGGAAGCAGAGGAAGTTTCTTTGATGAAAATGTTCTATATGTTGAGATGAGCATGAGTTACATCGGTGTCTGCATTTGTCAAAAGAAGGATTTTTTGGAGTGTCAGTAAAGAATAAACAGCAATGGAAGGAGAAGAAATATGAATAAATTCTTCTCATAAGTTTTTTATATCATATACAAAGATTAAAGCAAAAATTATAGCACTATCTGATACTCATCAATGATATTTAAAAGTAGGGAGAGTAAAGGAACCTAAACAGAAGTAAAGTTTCCACTAAAAGTGGTAAAATGTTGATACTAACAGACTGTGATGGGTCATGTGTATATATTTTAACACACAAAGCAATAACTAAGAAAATTATACAAAGTAATACACTCAAAAATGCTATAAATAAATCAAGATTAAATCCTGAAAATGTTCGAGTAACCCACAGAAAGTGAAGAAAACACAAACAGAAGAATAAGACACAAAATAAGCAAAGAGAAAACAAATAATAAAATGGCAGACAAGCTGCTAGGGTGATTAATAATCACCTTAACTGTAAATGGTTTAAATACATCAATTAAAAAGCAGAGATTGGCAAAGTGTATAAAAAGAAAACATCATCCAACCATATGCTGCTTATAAGAAATTAACTTCAAACTCAATGACATGGGTTGAAAATAAAAAGATGGAAAAATATATCATGTAAATATTTATCAAAAAAGTATATATTAATTTCAGATAAAGTAGACTTCTGAGCAAAGAAAATTAGTAGTGACAAAGTGACACATTACATAATGATAAAAGAATCAATTCACCAGGAAGGCATAATGATCTCAATTATGTAGGGACCAAACAACAGAGCATCAAAACAAATGAAGCAAAGACTAAAAAAACTAAAAGAAATAGACAAGTCTACAATTAAAATTTGTGACTTAAATAGCCCCCTTGGTGTTAAAGTTCTATCTCAGCAACTGAGAGAACTACAAGATAGAATGTCACCAAGGATATAGAACTGACCAATACAACCAACCAACAGGATCTAGATGACATACACAGAACACCCGAATATACTTTTTTTTTCAAGCGCCCATGGACATTTACCAAGACAGACCTTATCCTGAGCCATAAAACAAACCTCAACAAAATTTAAAAAATTGACATCACATAGATTATATTCCTGACCATGGTGGAATTAAACTGGAAATCAATAACAGAGAAAACAGGAAAATCTCTAAACACCTGGAAATTAAATAACACATTTCTACATAAACTATGAGTCAAAGAGAAAATCATAAAAGAAATTTTTTAAAAACACAGAAATGTATGGAAATAAACATATAACATAAAAATCTGTGGGATATAGCTAAAGCAGTGAGTGTGGAGAGGACTTTTATAGCACCATGTGCCTGCATTAGTAAAAAAGGGAAGGTTTCAAATCAATAATCTAAGTTCCTACCTCAAGACTAGAGCCCATTCTACTAAGTGAAGTATCACAAGAATGGAAAAGCAAGCACCACATGTACTCAATAGCAAATTGGTATTAACTGATCAACACTTATGTGCACATATAGTAATAACATTCATACGGTGTCGGGCAGGTGGGAGGAGGAGGAGGGGATGGGTATATTCACACCTAATGGGTGCGGTGTGCACCGTCTGGGAGTTGTACATGCTTGAAGCCCTGACTTGGGTAAGGCAAAGGCAATATATGTAACCTAAACGTTTGTACCTCCGTCATATGCTGAAATAAAAAAAAATAATAATTAAAAAAAAAAAAAGAAACTAGGGAAGAAAGAGAAAAATAAACCCAAAGAAAACAGAAGAAATAAAATAATAAAGAGAAGAAGTTAAAGAAATTGAAAACGTGAAAGATAGAAAAAATCAATTAAATAAAAATCTGGCTCTTCAAAACATCACTAAAATTAATAGTGATTAATAAAAAAAAGGATGCAAATCATCAATATCATGAATGAAATGGAGGATATCAGTATAAATTCTATTATCACCACAGGTAATAAGGAAATACTATAAACAATGCTATGCTGATAAATATGACTATTTATAAGAAATGGATCAATTTCTCAAAACTATAAACTAAAAAAATAAATAAAATAGATAATCTGAAGAGTCTTATAACCATTTATAAAAATCTAATCTGTAATCAAAAATTTGTTTGAAAGAAATCTCCAGGCTCAGACTGCTTCACTGAAGAATTTTACTAAACTTTCAAGGAAGAAATAACAACAGTTTTCACACTATCCCTTCCAGAAAATAAAAGGCTGGGTAGGGGGACAATTCCTAATTCCTTTTTTTTTGAGAGACAAAGTCTCCCTATGTTGCCCAGGCTAGATTTGAACTCCTGGACTCAAGCAATCCTCCCACCTCAGCCTCCCAAGTAGCTAGCATTACAGGTATGTGCCATGTGCCTGGCATCCAGCTCATTTTACAAGGACAAGATTATCCTGAATGAAAACCAGATAAAGGCCATATAGAAAAAGAAATCCTCAAGAAAATATTAACAAATCAAATCCAACAATGTATAAAAAAATTATACACCAGAACCAAATGGCATTTCTCCCAGATATGCAAGGTTGGTTCAACATTCAATGATCAATCAGTGTAATTTACCAGATCAATAAGCCAAAGAAGAAAATCATAAAATCATTATCAATTGAAGCAAGACGAAATTTTTGTCAAAACCCAACACCCATTCATGACTAAAACTCCTAGCAACATAGGAATAGAGGGGAACTACTGCAACTTGATAAAGAGCATTGACAAAAACCTACAGCTATCATCACACTGATGGTACAGAAAGTGGCAGCAGCACATTGCAGAAGAGGAAGATTTAAGTCATGTGAAAACTGAGACAAAACTTCTATTTGTAATGAATTTTCAGGCCGGACAATGACATACTTACAGTGTAGCAACTTCTACAGAGTATTTTTACATTGCTGTCAGTACACAAGGGAAGGGAGAAGAGAAGAGTGCTGGCCAGGGAATTATGGAAGATTGAATGTGTCTTTAGAGAAGCTGGGAGTCACAGTTGTTGACCTTTGGCAGGGAGGGTCGTGCAACATAGAATTCACAACAGCAACTACAGAGGGGAGGTAGAAGGTCCTAAATGTATCATGAACAAAAGCTATAATGGAAAAGATAAAGAAGATAATTATTTGGGTAGATGCAAGAATATTCAAGTAAATTCAGAGGTCAGGAGAAAAGCTATCTTATTTGCCTGCAGTCTTTAGGCAAAGCAATGTGGCTGCTCCTTCAACCCTGAATGGTACATTGTTCTAGGAAAATGAGAGGAAATTCAGTCTGAGGAGAAATAAAATTATTCATGAGAAAAAGATGAAAATCAAACTTGTTTTATGAATACAGCATAACCTTGAAATTAAATAGCCATCAAGAAAATCTGTTTTGTACTCACACTGACTTGGATTCAAATTCAGTCACTAGAAGTTTTCTGGTTAGAAGTTATCTATGCCTCAGTTATTTCATCTGTAAAATGGAAATAACAAGAGTGTCTACCTCATAGAAATATATTGAATGAGATGATACATGTACTTAACCCAGTGCCTGACTTACAGTAATTATCCAATAAATCATAATTTGGGAGATGATACCCAGTACTAAGTGTTGTCAATGTCTATACACTATAAAAAGAAAATGTGTAATAATGTCTTTACAACCTCAGGATAGGAAAAGACCTAATAATATACAAAAAGTACATGTCCTAGATGTGCTTTTGATTAAAATTCAAATTTTACTATGATATAAATAAAATTAAAAGACAACAGACTGAAAGGCGGTATTTCCAACATAAAACAAAGAATTAGTATCTTGTATACATAGAGAATTTCTACTAATAAATACAAGGGAAAAAAGACAATTTATTAGAAAAATTGGAAAAGGAGAGGATCAGGAAATTTACGTAAGAGAATCCTAATTGACCAATAAGCATATGAAAACAAGATAATATTTCCTATTAATCAAATTCACAATGAGAGTCTAACAATATAAAGTGTTTTCAAGGATATTAACAAAAATAGAATTTTTCATAAAATTGCTAGTGGGAATACAAATTGAAACAATTATTTTGAAGAGCAATTTGACAATATCTGCTAAACATAAAAGATGTACATACCTTATGAGCCAGCAATTCCACTTCCAGATATAGTCTCAACAGAAATGTTCACACATGAAAATGGAGAAATATATAAAGATATCAATAGCAGTATACATAGCAAAATAATCAGAAACAATTTAAGTCTATCAATAATAAGCATTTGGAATAATCATGCTATAAAACTATGTAGCAATTTAAAGGAATGATAAAGATTTGTTTACATACATAAACAAAACTCAAAAACATAATTTCCTATATACATTAATAAATAATTTATATAAATATTTAAAAGCACAAACTAGCAAAAGCATTAAAAACTGATTTATTTTTTAAACTGAATTATAAAGGTATAATCTAAATTCATAATTAAGGCCAGGAATAGTGGCTCACACCTATAATCCCAGCACTTTGCGAGGCCAACATGGGAGAATCACTTGAACCTAGGAGTCTGAGACTAGTCTGGGCAACACAGTAAGACCCCATCTCTACAAAAAAAAAAGGTTTTGTATTAGCCAAGGGTGATAGCGCATGCTACTCAGGAGGCTAAGGTAGGAGGATTGCTTGAGTCCAGGAGTTAGAGGTTGCAATGAACTATGAGGACACCACTGCACTACAGCCTGGACAACAGAGCAAGACCTTGTCTTAAAAAAAAATTCATAATCATTGTCTCTTAGGTGATAGAATGGGATATTACAGGAGATAAAAGAGATTTAATTTTATCTGTAATTTCATTGCTTTTATTAAAAAAGAACTAAAAGCAAGTGGGACAAAATTTTAATAATTTTCAACTCTGGGTATGTTGATACATGTACATGTTCTTATTCTTTGTACTTTTATATCTACTAGCCACTTCTCAAATAAAAGTATGACAAAAAATAAAACACACAGGAGCATATTGAAGATAAGATCAGTCATGAGGCTGTTGCAATATTCCAGACTAAGGACATGAGGTGTAAAATAGGACACACTCTGGTGGAGACAGAGAAGAGTCAGATACACGAGCTCTTAAGGAGATTTAAATATTATCTTAGTTGACTTGGACTGCCATAACAAAATATTATAGACTAGGTGGCTTAAGCAATAGACATTTCTCTCTCACAGTTCTGGAAGCTAAGAAGTCCAAGATCAAGGTGCCAGTTGATTAGGTTCCTAGTGGGCTCTCCTACTGTCTTGCAGTCAGCTGCCTTCTCATTGTGTCTTCACATGGAGTGGGGGGAAAAGAGGAGAGAGAGAGAGTGAAAGAGATATTTCTCTTTTTCCTTTATTATAAAGACATTAATTCTATTCATTAGGGACCTACCCTCATGACCTCATCTAACCCTAATTGCCTCCCAAAAGCCCCATTTCTAAATACCATCACATTGGGAATTGGTACCACAACATATGAATTTGGGGAGACACAAACATAAATGTAGTGATAAGAGAAGCTATTTATCCATACATAGTGCTTTGACCTGCAATGAGTTCTTAGTAATGGTGATGAATTCTGTGAATGACACTAGTCCTCTTCCCAGCTGTGAGTATTGCAATGTGAGCTCAGTGAGTATTGCAATGTGAGCTCAGAAGAAGGGAAATAATGGTGGGAAAAGATAAACGTGGTGGGAAAAGATAAAAGTGCTATCTATTACCTCAGAGAAGAACCTCATGGAATTGATTTCTTGAGAGATGGCCTCAAGCCAATCTCAACAAAGGGAGCCATTTCAAGAGCCCTCTTCTAAATGCTCTAGAACCCTTACAGGGAACTACTTGTCTTCCATTTAAGAAAAAAAAAAAAGCCTTTGGAAGATGATCCCAGAACTCTTCCCCTCAGCCATTATTGATCAGAGAGGCTTAGTCAAAAAAATACCTTTTCCATGCCTCACATTAAAGGAAAGGAATGATTGAATAAGTTCAGGAGGTTTCAGGATCCTAACCCAATCTTACAGGTATAGAGTTGCCTTGGAGACAAGGATGACAACTGTGACCTCAGTAAGCAGGACAATGGAATCATGGCTATCTAGGGTCAAAGCTGGTATCAGCCCCAAAATTCTGGGACTGGAAAGAATGCCCCTATTGCAGATGAATGAGAAATAAATTAAAAGAGTAGACAATATTACAGGATTGATGTGATCTATTCCACACTCCTACCATAACCTGACTTCTGTCAGATCCTATTATAAAGAGAGGGAGAACAGTTCCTCTCTCAAATCTACAACCTCAGCACAAGCACATCTACTATTCTAGGAACTAGGGACACCCAGTGATCCAAACTTTATGGAATAATAAGTACTTTCTCACAGAAGGACTGGGAAGCCAGAGGTGAAGGGGAGAAAGTAAAGCTAGAAGACAGACTGAACATGGCAGTTCCATGACTCCTTCAAAATCTCCATAGGGTAGGGCAACCTGATCTTACAGAATCCCTCTACCACCCCTGAAACTGAAGGAAGGTGAGGCATGGGCTACTGTGGTGCCACACTACTCACAAAGAGGTCTTACTGACCTGGGAGCTGAGATTTGATAATTGAGAGTTTGCCTTAGTAGGTTTCTAGAAGAGGATTCAGTGCAGTGTGACACCACTAGGACCTAAGAACTTCTGATCTATAACCTATTGCCTATTGTGTAAACAGATAATATACTGTCATGTGTTGTTGCTTATGGGCCATTTTAAATGGAAAATCATAGAACAGGCCCACATAGATACAAGTTGGTATCTGAGAACTCTATTCTATAGATGTTGGTGGTGGCTTCATTAGCCAAAGAAGTGAGAAAAATCAGAGTCAATCTCCAAAAAGAACCCTCCTATCCTATTTTCCATGCCAGCCTAGAAGCAACTGATAGGTCCAGTGAGCCTCCCTTCCTTCCCCCACTCCACCACACTCTTTGCAGAGAGTTGGCACCTAGCCCCACAAGGTCACAGGTATATTGTCAAATCCCCCCTGTAATGGCCAATATCACAGGAAAAGACCAGCCAGTTACTGCCCACCATGTGCTCAGGGAGCTTCTATAAGTATGGACTAAGATTTGGGGGACCAACAAAGGAATTTTCTAGAGACACAGTCAATGATATTTTCTGATGTACCTTGGATTACTAGACGGTAGGAAATGTAGAACACTGTAGATTTCCAAGAACTTAATGACCTTAAAGTCATGGACTTGTTGCACTTAAGGGCTTTGTGATTTATCTAATGAACAATTTTCACAAAGAGCAAGTGACTGAGATAGCCAAAAGTCCCATTAGTGTAGTGTCCTCTTGAGGCTGACAGCACTTCTGCACAACCCTCTCCTTCATGGCTCTCAACCCCCTGTCCCACTTTTCAAGTGATGCTCTCCTCTCTCAATGGATGAGAGATCACCAACCAATGCCAAATAATCGTAGCTCTTTCTACACCTCCCTATTCAGAAATCTTAGCACCACCTGCCAATCCCAAAGTTTCCTGAATGCCTTCTCCCAGGAACAGGTGCATTTTGCCCCAACTATTCTAAAAATTCCTACTCATGTGCTAAATCTCAGCTGAAATCTTTGAAGTAGCTAAGATCAAGTATGCTAGAGCCAAACTGTTTGCGTTAGTATCCTAACTATGCTATGTATTAGCTATGTGACCTTGGGCAATCTCTGTGCCTTAGTTTCTTTGTCTGTAAAACGGGGGAAAGAATTGTACCCACCACAAATGACTGTTGTGAGGTTAGGGCTTAGAGCAGTACATGCACCTAAGAAGCTCCACGGGACTGTTAGTCATTACAGTGATTCAGAGATTTCCCTGACTCTCCAGGAGAGTGAAAGCCTTCTTTCTCTGCACTGCCTCGTATCTGGTATTGACCTGATTTAATACAATGACTTTTATAGTCCTTCAGTTTTTACTGTTTACATTACTGTGTTTGCTAGACTGTGAACTCCTTGAGGGAAGCAGGGTCTTGTTATTGCCACTGTATCCTCACCACATGGCACAAGGTCAGGCACAAAAGAGATTCAATCAGTTCTGCTATAATGCTGGTTTTAAGATGAAAATTTGTTCAAACACAATTGAAGCATGCATTAAGGAACTCAGCATGATGCAAATTTCATGTTTGCTTTTATGGGATTCCATTTTCAAGAAACTAGTGAACACAGAAAACTGTACCCAGTTGAACTGAATTGAGTAGGAAAGTGTAACATGCACGCACCTCAAACATCTATCAGCTACTTCAGTTCACCACTTGAGTTATGAGCCACACCCATCCACATCTGGGGTTACAGCTTTTCACCCAATTTCAGACAAGCCTCCTTCATGGCTTCACGATAATTCACAAGGTGTTTCCAACACTCACTTCCACAGAATAAACCCCATATCTTTTTCAAGGCAAAGTGTCATATTTATTGCAGTATTTATGTACTTTCTAACCATTTAATATGTGAAAATTAGTGCTACCATTTTTATTAGGTTCCTGTCTTTTTTTAAATGTTTAGTTTTTTATTGTTGTTCCCTACCTCCATTTTCCCAATAAGCCCTGTGGTTTTTATTGCATGATTTTGCATAGTGTGGTGATTTAAGGATATGTCTCCTTATAATAGAAAGAACTGTACTCAGTAGATTTGTGGTTGATGGCAAACAATTCTTTCTCTTCTCCATGGATACCTAAGGCTCCTGAAACTGCAGGAGCCCCTGTTAATGAGCAGAGGCTATCTGGGCTAGCAGGTCAAGTTATTCATAACCAACTATATGCCAGGCATTGTGATGAGCAGTAAAGATATTGTGATCAATAAAAAGCAATGCCTGTAACTCTTTCAGTCTAGTGGGAAAGAAACAGACGAGTAATTACAATAGAGTAGGACAACAGATGCTATTGAAGAACAAAGGAGGCCAGCACGGTGGCTCATGCCTAACTTTGGGGGAGGCTCGCTCCAGCCCAGGGGTTCAACACCAGCCTGGACAACATAGAAAGACTTTGTCTCCACAAAAAATAATTTTAAAACTAGCTGGATGTGGTCACAAATGCCTGTAGTCTCAGCTGCTCGGGAGGCTGAGGCAGGAGGATCCCTTGACCCCAGGAGTGTGAGGTTGCAGTGAGCTATGATGACACCACTGCACTCTAGCCAGGGCAACAGAGCGAGACCCTGTAATTAATTAATTAACTAATTAATTATTTAATTTTCTCCCAGCCATCAGGGAGTCGGCAAAGATCTCTCAGAGGAAGTATTCCTCTTTCTCAGATCTTTCTACTCCATATTCTTTCCTTGCTTGCCCCCATCTCTGCCTCCTTACTCTACTTCCTGAGTTACTGGCCCATCAGCATTAAGAAAAGAAGCCGAACAGGGAAGAGTTAACATGGCACAGGTGGGAGGGAGAAGGGCCCTGAGGGAAGCAGGTAGAACAGCCTCATAAAGGGCCCCACAGGCATTGGTCAAGATAAAGAGAAGCTGCCAACACACAGGCTCAAGATCTTTCCTCAGCCCAACCTTCTAGAAAGCTGGAGATTTCTTCCTATTTTTTTTAATCTATTCAACATTTTTTAAGCTTCTGCTACGGGATAGATTCTGGGAGGAGTTGGTCTACTTGCCTTGCCTCTTCCAACATCAGAGATGCTTCTTCAGGTGGCTGCTACTCTGGACTAAGTGTCATTTTCTCCCCGTGTGTCACCTCTACTCCCTCTGGTACCCCAGGAATAAGACTCTAGTGGGACCCCTTTCTGGATTATGAAGGAGAGAAAGTAAGTTCCTTTTCTTGCTGTCATCTGTCTTTCTCCATTGCTCCCCATCCCCAACTTCAACCTTCCAGCTAGTGTTCAAATTCACTACTTCAGCATCAAGTTCAGAATAACGTAAGCACCCCAGCCCCCAAAAACCCACCAAGTTTTCTTCTGCCACACCATGCCCCCCACCTTCACTCCAGATCCCATCTGCCTACCACTACAGTTTCGCCCTTTCTTTTTACTCTGCTTCCTTTCTTCTTAAAGGGTTGGTGCCCAAAATGTTAGAGCTGAGCAACACTTAAGATCATTGTGCCCACCCCCACTGTACAGCTGAGGGGAAACTGAGGCCCAGAGGTCACACCCAAGGATACACTGTCAGGGACAGGGCAGCCTGAGACCTGATCCTCAACCAGCGCTGGCTTTCTCCCTATCTACTGCAGCAGTCACCCCTACCTCACTACACTTCCTCATTACCGTTGTTCACTGCTTCCTCCCCCTACAATACTCAGGGGCTTTTAGGAGCAAAGGATTCTCCCATCCTACCTAGAGTTGTGACCTTAATTATCCATCCAAAACCACCCCCCCAAAGGTTATAACCTTGTGAGCCTCTCAGCCCTGCACTACCCCTACACATACCTCATGGGTGGGTTTGTGCCACTGTGACACCCCCAAAATCTCTCCCCTTATCAGCAGTCATGCCTCCATGATCCCTAAAGCTTTGCCCACCACAAAATGGCAGAAACACCCCAGCCCAACTCCACCTTCCCACACCCAACCTTCTTCATACTGACTGGCATTCCAGGGCTAAGAGGTGCCCAGACCTGGCTGACACTGGTCTTTGGGCCCATGTATCTGCTGGCTCTGCTGGGCAATGGAGCACTACTGGCAGTGGTATGGATTGACCCTGTGCTGCACCAGCCCATGTTTCTACTCCTGGTCACACTAGCAGCCACAGACCTGGGTTTAGCCACATCTATAGCCCCAGGGTTGCTGGCTGTGCTATGGCTTGGACCCCAACCTGTGCCATATGCTGCCTGCCTGGTCCAGATGTTCTTTGTACATGCGTTGACTGCCATGGAATCTGGTGTGCTTTTGGCCATGGCCTGTGATCGTGCTGTGGCAGTAGGGCGTCCACTGCACTACCCTATCCTAGTCACCAAAGCCCGTGTAGGATACGCAGCCCTGGCCCTGGCACTGAAAGCTGTGGCTATTGTTGTGCCCTTCCCTCTGCTGGTGGCACGATTTGAGCACTTCCGAGCCAAGACCATAGGCCATGCCTACTGTGCACACATGGCAGTGGTAGAGCTGGTGGTAGGTAATACACGGGCCAACAACTTGTACGGGCTGGCACTTTCACTGGCCGTGTCAGGTGTGGATATTCTGGGCATCACTGGCTCTTATGGACTCATTGCCCATGCTGTGTTGCAGCTGCCTACCCGGGAAGCCCGTGCAAAGGCCTTTGGTACATGTAGTTCTCACATTTGTGTCATTCTGGCCTTTTATGTGCCTGGTCTCTTCTCTTACCTCACACATCGCTTTGGTCGTCACACCGTCCCAAAGCCTGTGCACATTCTTCTCTCCAATATCTACTTGCTCCTGCCACCTGCACTCAACCCCCTCATCTATGGGGTTCGCACCAAGCAGATCAGGAGCCGATTCCTGGAAACCTTCATATTCAGAAAAAGCCAGTTCTAACGGACAGAACTAGAAGTGGAGGTGAAGGTGAAGGGAGCCTGGAGCCTGGGGTAGAGATGGAGGTACACTAGGAGTCTGAGGTCTAGGGGTGGATTATGTCATCTTTGTCCCACTGTCTGCCCGATTGTGATAATCACTCAACAGATATTTAATGTGAAGCCCCCATTATGTGTACCACCAGCACGGGTAGACTGGGGCCTGACCATGTGCCCTGCCTGGGAGGAGGCAGGGGTCATCACTAGAAGCACATAATGTTAGCACACGATGAAATAGTAATATTTCACATGGCTGCAGCTGCCACAGTATTGAGATATTAAACAGAAAGTTAAATGGTGTTACCCATGGGGATTCATTTTCATCTAAGACTCCACCACACAGGACGGGACACTGCGTGACAAAAGGTCTTTCACACCAGAATGGACTTCAGAATGAGTGTAATCTTAGACAGAAGGCAGGGAATCACTTTTGTGAGGTCAAAGAAAGCTACAGGCTGCAGAGGCAAACCCAAGCTCTCCAGGAAAATTATCATAAAACAAGTATTGGAGTTAGCCATGAAGACCTGAAGCCAGGAACAACCCAGACCGCTCAGCACAGACAGCTGGACCAGGCAGCATGGGACACCACAAAGAAGACACTGAAGATGAGAAAAAGCAGATGATGCCATCTCCAGTGTCACATGGTGGGGAGGGGGGGATACCACGACATCCTCATTAATAAGGAACTGAAGAGTTAGCTTAGAACCTCTGTGATTTTCAGAAGTGTCATCACACTGAATCCAAGTGGATTGGGAGGAAATCTACAGTTAACCCAAGTGTGGGTTCAGTCATTCTCAAGTCTAATTTTTTTAATGAGATTCTGAGTTTAAATGCCCTCCAAGCATGATTTCGTGGATAATTGTGACAAAATTCTAATACTAATGGGTCCCAAGTTGTTAAGATGTTCATATCCTTCTCTTAGTAATTCCCCTTTAATAAATCTGAGAAAATAATCAAAATGTGAACAAAGATGTATACAGTATGATATTTATTACATTATTATAAATATAAAGAAATGTATAATAATCCCGTGGCACACATACGTACACACACACCATTTTTTGTTTTTCCCCTCTGATACATGAAAAGGGAAATTATATGCAGCCAATGTTCATAAGCAATAAATTCTGTCACCCTCCCACCACAGGAAGATTCTTCTAAGGCACCTTCAACCTCTGTTTGTATACAACTCCCCAAAGTAGATGGTTCCAAAGCAGTATGTTGTCTACTGTAAGAACTTCATTCCTTAAAGCCAAAAATCCACCCCCCTAGACACTGTATTTTGTTCCAAATTGAGATTGCATACATACTTACCATGTGATATGCTTAGAAAACGTTACTGTACTTTCCTCATGACAACCTGAGAAGAATTAATTATAAGCCCACAACCCCTTGTCTATAATTAATTCCAAAATAGAAAATCTCTGACAAGTTTTTTCTTAACTTTGGCCCAAAACCTGACCTCAACCATCATGACCCTATTTATAGTATTTATGTTAGTATGAACATACATACATTTAATGGCAGAAATGTTGATGCATTTAATTACAGGGCACTGTTCTGAACCTCACTGGGTTATTCCTTAATATATAATATTTATACTATATTCCCTTTCTATAGACTGAAAAATTCTGAATTCCAAAACATATCTGTCCCCAAAAGGTATTAGGGACTTGTATGATTATCCTTGTAGCCTGAGAGAAGTGAAGAGACTTGTTAGGGCTCTTTATCAAGTCTTTGTTGTCAACACTATTCTATACTACCCTAGAGGTCTGTGCAAAGAACATCATGTTCTCTGGATAAATAGCCCTATTTGTTTGTTCCTCTTATGCTCTCCACTCAGGTCACTCTCAGATATCCTGCTGATGATCTGTGCCTCTTTCCCAGAGAGACCCAGAACATGCCACACCAAAGGCAAACCCTATGAGCAGGATACGACCCAGACAGCCCAGAGTCAGACCTTGGGCTCACCAACTTCATCCAAGACTCAGTTGTCATCTGTTTTCCTTCTGTACCTTTCAGTCTCAGACTCTCTGAGCCAAAAAGAAAGAAAGAATTACTTAATGTCAGGTTAGAGCAGTATGAAATTTAGTGAGCCAAGAGAATCATAGTAATCAGACAGTAAGAGAAAGAAATGAGGTGTGGGCTTCTGACTGAGGAGTTCATTGGTATAGTTTCCCCTCTTAGTCCCTATCCATGAACAAAAAGCCTAACAAGATCCTCTTCATCCTATTGAGGATGTAAAGAGACTCTCCTCATCCTCCTCACCAACAGCCCATCACCCCTGTACCTCCCTCATGTACCTCCTTCTAAAGCTGGAGTCCCCTTAGGATCTGGATATGCATCATTCTCTGTTTCTACTTATCAATCACTTTCATTGTTTCTATACTGCTGCACCTGTCTCCTTGCACCATCTTTCAGTTTTACCCCATGTCTATGTCTCTTGTTCTTATGTATGTCTCTCTCACTCTACCTCTGTCTGCCTCATTCAGAAGTCCTTCCTGGAGAGAACAGAGTTGCCAACTATACTATACCAGGTGACCTCTTCTTGTCAGCTATAATAAAAAATGTGCTAAAGGGGCTAGAAAGAAAGAACTTGGTTTCACTTGTCTTAACAAGAAACTTGGAATTTCTGACTTGGTCCATTGTTGGTCCTCTCTTCTCACCATGCTCATTTCCCTTTCATTAAACCACTTTATGCTTTCCACCTAGCATGGAACACTCCCACCAAACACTAAAATGAACAGAAGAAACATGTTGGCTTCTCCCTTCACCAAAAGGAATACCATTTAATGGTTAGAGCCAGAGTTAAGCAGACTTTTTTCTGAATCCCAGATCCTCTATAAACTCACTATATACCTTGGGCTAATTATTTAACCTCTCTGATACTGTTCTTTCACTTGTAAAATGGGATAGTAGTGCCTACTTTAAGAGATTACTGAAAAGGATTAACTAAGATAATGAATTCAAAGTATTTGGGACAGCACCTAGCACAGAAGAGCTCAAGAAATATGATACTGGGCTGCCCAGTAGCTCACACCTATAATCCCAGCACTCTGTGAGGCCAAAGCGGGAGGATTGCTTGAACTCAGGAGCTTGAGACCAGCCTGAGCAAGAGCAAGACCCCATCTCTACTAAAATAGAAAAAAGAATTAGCTGGGCAACTAAAAATATACAAAAAAATTAGCCAGGTATGGTGGTACATGCCTGTAGTCCCAGCTACTTGAGAGGCTGAGGCAGGAGGATTGCTTGAGCTCAGGAGTTTGAAGTTGCTGTGAGCTAGGCTGATGCAATGGCACTCTACCCCTGGCAACAGAGTGAGACTGTCTCAAAAAAAACAAAAAAGAAGGGGAGGGGAGGGAGGGGGGGAGGGGAGGGAGGAGAGGAGAGGAGGAGAGGAGAGGAGAGGAGAGGAGAGGAGAGGAGAGGAGAGAAAAGAGAAATATGGTATTAATTCCTCTCCTGGAAAAAAGGAAAATGGAAAATTTCCACTGTCAATCGTTTGCTCAAAAACCTTGCACCCATACACCCATAACTCTGTCTAAGGAGACCCTGCTTCCCGAGGCCAGTTACTTCTCCTTTAGGAAAATTTTCTTGATAACACTCTTTCCCACCCTTCCCTATGCCCCTACTCATACCACCTCAGCCAGCTGAGAAGACAGCCAACTTTGTGGGATAGATCTACATGTTGGGCTTGGCTAGGGGAGGGTACTAGCTACACACAGGAGATCTTCTTGGGCACAAAGGGGACTCTGCAGAGGGACTCAGAGAGAAGACTCCTTGGATAAATAAGGTACAGAGTGGGAAAGTAGGTACTGGAAAGTTCTTCAAAGAACCACTCTTCTATAGCAAAACACTAGGTGAGATCTCAAGACAAAGACACAAGAGGAGATAACATAGATAAGAGCCGGAGTGGAAGTGGGAGAGGAGCTACGACACACAAATCAGAGTAGGACAGGGAGTGGACCATAAAAAAATAAATTCTTCAAATTTACCTGGGTAATTCTGGCTTGCTGAAAATTCTCTCCAGTTACTAGGGCAACATTATTCCAATTAGATTCTTACCCTCCACATTGTTACTGCTTAGTATAGCGCACACACATACACCTAGTTTTCATTGCAATTGTAATCCACCTATTAATAATGGGATTCAGCCTAAAGCCATACCTTAAAATTGCCTTAGGGGCTTTTAGAAATCATGATGTCCAGGTACACTCCAGACCAATTAAGTAAGAATCTCTAGGGGTAGGATCCAGTAATTTTTAAAGCTCCCAATTAATTCCAAACTGCAGCCAAGGTTGAGAACCACTGTTTGGTTCTCAATATAAATCCTGATCTATACTGTCTTGGGTTGCTTAACAGGGATATGCTCTGACAAATGCATCATTATGTGATTTCATCAATGTATAAACATCACAGAGTTACTTACATAAACCTAGATGGTACAGCCTACTACACACCTATGCTATATGGCATAGCCTTATTGCTCCTAGGCTACTATTCTGCAGTATGTTACAGTACTGAATACTTCAGGCAACTGTAACACAATGCTAAGTATTTGTGTATCTAAACATAGAAAAGGTACAGTAAAAATACAGTATTATAATCTTATGGTGTGGGACCACTGACATATATGTGGTTCATTGTTGACCAAAACATCATAGTATGGCACATGACTGACTATACTTTCTCCCATGTCCTTCAGGACCCCATCCAATCTCACAAAGAAGCTATCTGCAGCCAACAAGATAGCAAATTATTTAACGGAGATTGCTGAAGGGAGGAGAGACCTGATCCTGTTTCCTTAAAGAATTTAGACCAAGAACTACACACAAACACACACTCATAGACATATACAAATGCTCCCTAACAGATACCTTTATTTTCTGCCCCAAAGCAGGAGGATGGATAGGTGACTCAGAGTATGAATTACAGGCTGTAGTGAGGCTAGAAAAGTTACTATCCTCTCTCTACTCATGACACCATTACCTAGCAGGACCTCTATGACCTCATGCTGCAGTAGCTCAGAGCCCAAGGCCTGGGGTCTCACCTCCCTGGGCAGCTAGGGGTTCCTACAGCAGCCACTGCCCTGCCAAATCCCTCCCACACCCCACCATGTTGGTTGGTACCCCCCACTTGCTGACACTAGATGAAGCTGATGCCACTTGGACACTCATCAAGGATAAGGTGAGTAAAGTAAGGAGACTAAAGAAGAAGTAACAAAGTGTGGCCTGGATAGACCTGAGCAGCCTGTGAGTAGGAAGGTGTGGGAAGCCTGAAGACAATAATAACGAACATTTACTCAGTGCTTGCTTATGTGCCAGGCGCTGCAGTAAAGTGATTAACAATTGTAAAAACAGTAAGAAATGTTCCTTGAAAAGCAAAGTTTAGAGGCTGTCAGAGCAAAGAGGAGAAGCACTAAGTCAGAGGTAGGCCTTAGGAAGTCAGGAAGACTTCCTAGAAAGAGTAATATTCTAGCTAGTCAAATAGGAGTTATTCACACAAAGGAGGAGAGGAGCACCCAGCACATAAAAGGTGTTTAATAAGTATCTGAATGAGTTAATAAGCAGGTGGATGAGGGTGTTTATAGCATACTAACTAAAAGTAGAGCATATGCAAAAGCCAGGAGAGGAAAAAGAAAAATGCATATATGTAAACTGAAAATAGTCCTCAAGAGCAGAATCCAAAGAAGTAGGGGTGAAAATGAGGTCAAAGGGGTATAAGAGGATCATAAAAGACCCTTTAAGCTTCCTATAGAACCTGGACTTCACCTTCAACCCCTTCACTTATACTCCCTCTTCCTTAACTTCCACAGCATGAGAAATTTCGGTTTTGAGTAAAATATGTATATTTCAAGAAGGGAGATCGCAGCTGTCTCTGGGCTGCATGTGTCCAACAAATCCCACCAAATCACTTGTCAGTTGCTGGCTACATGTCAGCAAATTCCTCAGAATGGAAAATTTAGGGATAAGTTTCTGGCTAATAGATATGAAAGACAGTGAATTTAAAGCATTCATAGAAGGCAGCCTATCAAACTTAGGAAACCATCTTAAAGCATTGCCTACCATACTCTAAGCAGCCTGAATCATATGTGGCTCTCATTCCAAATGGGGTAGCTGCTCACCACAAAAGCCAAC